TTTCATGTTCTCTCTCCTCTTTGGATGGGTGATAATCTATGATTATTAGTTTTGAGTATCTCTGATTCAAGAGCAGATATTCACCTGGAACAGCATTAGGATCTTTCATTGTTTCAAATTTTTCTTTAATGTAGTTTCTGTATACTAAAGAAAGAATGAATAAAATTAGAAGTGTGAAAAATAAGGCCTGCACAAGACAATTAAGTGTTTTGTCTGTCTATCTTTCTCCTTGAAGCCACCCCCATCCACCCTCTGGATTAATGTGTTGAAGGAAGTTGTAGGATACTTTGTTAGTTGGCTTGTCAGAATTGATGTGAATAGGCAAATACTTGTTAATCAGTACATTAAATATTTATCATTTCATAACTCTTTTTATTCCACACATTATTTCTCAAAAGAATGTATTAAATACTAGCAGGTTATATAAGGTTCTTTCTTTGGATTTTGATAGATAGATATTTTAAAATATTACCACCCTTGGATATAATAAATATTTTCAGAATGTGTGTAATTCCCAGCATACTTCATATTTAGGGTGGGTTGTTTTTTATTCGCAAAGAGAAAACACACACACACAAGATAATGGATTTTCCACAATGAAATATGTTCTTCAGTAAATTTCTATGGGGTTTGTCAATTCAAACTGTCTATTTCTACATATCCTTTTCAACATATCTTTAAAAAGATGCAGTTCTTATTAAAATATGAGGTTTCGATTTCCCAAATTCTGAATTATACAACTATGCATATGTACTGATGATACCAAATTTGTAAAAATGTCATTCAGCATAAATTCCTAAGTCCTTTCTCTCTTGCGTATGTCTGTGTGTGTGTGTGACATACATACACACACACACACACATACATACATACATACATACATACATACATACATACCGTGTTTCCCTGAAAATACGACCTGTCCTGAAATGAAAGTCTTGCCACATTTTTCCCGTGGGCAAAAATATAAGCCCACCCCTGAAAATAAGCCCCCTGGACAATCCCTCCCTCCAGCGAGGCACAGCACCCCTCACCGACCTAGCGGTATCACAAAGGCACCCAGCCATGGGAACAAGGTGGGGGGCAAAGGCACTCATGTTTCTTGGTGCTTTTGGGGTACCACTAGGTCGGTCAGCGGTGCTGTGCCGAGCTAAAGAGGGGGGTTGCTGGGCAGCTCCTCTCTTGGGAGTGGGCTCCCAAAGAGCCGAGCACAGCCTCAGGGTTGAATGGCTGTGTTGCACTGTCGCAGCAGCAACACAGCAGCCATGAGGTGGCCACGCTTGCAAGCAGCCGCCCAGCAACCCCCCTTTCCAGCCGGGCACAGTGCCGCTGACCAATCTAGTGGTACCCGGAAGGCACCAAGCAACGCAAGCGCCTGTTTGTCACCCTCCGCTTCCCACGGCTCGGCGCCTTCGGAATGCCCCTAGGTGAGTGAATGGAGCTCTCCATGGCTGGAGACGGGGGTTGCACGAGTGGCTTTTGTGCTCCCCACTCGCGCGACTCACAGGATCACAATGCCCTTGGCAAACTCTGCAGAGCCAGGGCATCTCCACTGCTGGTGCTACCCGCTGCTTTTTTCCCCCGGCTTTCAAAGCACGGAGGATGGATGCCGCTCTGGGAGTACGCTCTATGGTTGTGGGCTGCAGAGTGTACAACCATAGAGCATACTCCCAGAGCAGCATCCGTCTTCCATAGCAGCTTCCAAAGCATGTAATGGAAGATGTTTTTTTTTAATGTTGTTTATTCTTGTTCAAAAACAAATAAAAATTGTTTTTTTAAAAAAGAAATGTATAATGAAGTACTAGAACGAGCCAAGACACCAAAATCCTGGATGGAGGCATTAATAACATTAATTCCCAAAGACAACACTGAAAAACGAAAGATCCAAAATTATAGGCCAATCTCGCTGCTAAATGCTGATTATAAAATATTTATGACAATAATGGTGGAAAGAATTAAAAATATACTAAATGGAATCATACACCCAGACCAAAATGGATTTCTNAATAAATTGGAACTTTGAGGAATCCTTTGCCTTGGACTCTGATTTAGTTTTGGATGCTATTTGGAACCCTGACAGTGTGTGTGTGTTTCTCAGGAATAATGGAATAACAGAGTTGAAACAGACTTCTGAGGTCTTCTAGTCCAACCCCCTACTCAGGCAGGAAAACTGAGGATGGCAAAATTTGAGTGCCTGGGAAAGGTGTCAGAATAACAGAATAATACTTAGAAGGGACTTTGGGCACCCCTCAATGTGAGTGATGTCAGGTTGGCCATGCCCACTGAGTCACATCACCAGCCACCCATGCCCACCAAGCCATGTGACCACCCAGCCACACCCACCCAGTCACATGACCGCCTAGCCCTGACAACCCAGTCACATGACCACCAAGCCATGCCCACAGAACCAATAGTAAAAGAAATTGAATCCCACCACTGGCTGAAGGCAATTGGCAACTGGCAGATGATCTAAATGTATTCTACTGTAGGTTTAAAAAAAGACCACTGTCAATTATTGCTATCTCTCCATCTCAGATACACCAACAACAGCCAAATCATCCTATGCCTCATTCCATCCCTCTGGGCCCCCACCTCTAGTCATCCTTAAAAAAGAGGTGCAATGTCTATTTCACAGACAAAAGTCTAAAAAAGCACCAGGCCTAGACAGACCCAAACTCCTTCTTGCTTGAAAGTTTGTGCTGATCAACTAGCCTCATCTTCCACCCAGATGTTTAATAGATCAATGGAGATGTGTTACGTCCCTTCTTGCTTCAAACACTCTACCATCATCTTGGTTGCTCTGACATCTGTAATTATGAAAACCTTTGAAAAGGTAGTGTTGGCACATCTGTAAACCATTACGTATTTGCTGCCACTCCTCTTGCAATTTGCCTATTGCTCAAATATATTAGCTGATCTACATGTTACAACATCTTGAATCCACAAAGACCTATATAAGGGTCCTTTTTGTAGGCTTCAACTCGGCATTCAACACCATCATTCCTGAAATCATTGTCTACAAACTGACTTAATTAGCTGTGCCTGACCATAGTTGCAGATGGATCATAAGCTTTCTAACAGATAGCAAGAAGCAAGTGAAGCTAAAATCACATCAGTTTCCTGTACAATTAGCATAGGTGCCCCCCAGGGCTGTGTGCTCTCTACGCTACTCTTTTCTCTCTATACCAATGACTGCATCTCAAAGGATCCCTCTCTTAAAGTACTGAAGTTTGCAGATAATACAACAGTGATTGGTCTTATTCTAGNTGTTTCATTACTAAACTAGGTAACATCATCAGTATTAGTAGGGAGTGGAATTTGCTCTTATTTTCATATACTAGTGGCTTCCCCCTGTTAGAGTTGATCAGTTGCTTCACAAACAGTGCCAGGTCTCTAACCTGAGGCAGAGAAGGGCTATTATACATCCCTTCCTCAAATGTTATTTAAAATAGAGTTTCCCAGCATTCCTTTAGGAACCTTCAACATGCAAACTGTGGTTATCATCCTAAAATGAATCCTCTTTATCTGGAGCTTCAAAATTTGCTGTTTGCTAGGAAGATGTGTAGCTAAAAGTCAGTTTACATTTAGTGTACATCTGATTTTGGGGATATTTCTTCACAACCAAACAAGTGTATTTTCTGTGCAGTTCACACCCCTTGCTCACTGGATCTGGATGTCACAAAGCAAAGCCCACATTTTGTAATTAACTTAGCTTTGCATTGTTTTGCCCTGTTTTGGCTGGCAGAGTGTTGCAGGAGGCTGAGGTCTGTCACGTCCCTGCCCATGCCCACCCAGCCAGCCGTTAGGGCACAGAACCGCTTGTTAAAAAATTTGCAGCCCACCACTGCTCCAAGGTCCCTTCTAATCAGAGGTCGGTTCCTCCCGTTACGGTCTGGTATGTCAGAAGAGGTAGTGAAAATCTGGTGTACCACATAGGACCGGTAGTAATGGTGGCCTGGCCACCCACCCACCCCAAACCTGTTCTCCTGTCAGAAGCTTTGTCAGAGGATTTAAAAAAAAACCTTTTTCCCTGCCGATTCAGGCAAGGAAAAAGAGGTTTTAAAAAGTAAAAGATAGAGAGTGGGGGAGGGAGGGAGGAAGGGAAGGGAGAAAGAAAGAGAAAGAAAAAGAAAGAAAGAAGGAAAAACACTTTTCTGCCAGAAGATTCAGCAAAGGAGAAAAACAAATGCTGTCACTTTACATCGGAACTGAGCACACCTGGCTATGGAATTCTGGGAGTTGAAGTCCACAAGTCTTAATGCTACAAACTTTAAATTGAAACCTGCTATAAATTGAAAAGCTGCTCAAAAGGAGGTTTGCAAAGTGACATTCAGCAGTTTGTTTCTGGGTCAGCTGAACAAGAAACTAGATAAAAGTTGTGGCGTTTGTGCAATATCGTCTTTGTGCTTCTAAAAGGGTTTGGATGAGTCCCTGCTTGTGAATGGAGCCAAACTTTCTATAGGCTCATTATCTCATTATCGCTATCTGGCAGGAATGTGGAATGAGCCTCAAGCAGGTTTCTTTGTTAGCAGCTTGATTTTTCCTTTTCTGGGAGTAATATTTTATTTGGGGGAGGGGGTTTGGTTGCTTCCCAAAGAGGGAAGGGAGAGAGGGAGAGAGGGAGAGAGAGAAACAGCACAACAATTTATGGCTAGAAGGCTACTCAGCAGTCATCTAGTCCAACCCACTGCTGCAGCAGGAAACCTTACATTATCTGAATTATTTTGGTGCCTCTAACAGAGAAGAAAATTACCAGAAAGGAAAAGACGTTTACTAGGAGAAGGCTGCCGTGCAGAGGAAGGCAGAGATAGTCTTTGACTTATGACTACAATTGAGCCCAAAATTGTGTTCGCTAAGCAAGAGCGTAGTTAAGTGAGCTTCACCACATTTTACACAATCCATGACATCTCCTGGTGAGTGACATCAAGTTGGCCACACCCATCTAGTCACATGACTGCCAAGCCATGCCCACAAAATAGGCCATGCCCACAGAATAGGTAGTAAAAAATTTGAAACCCTCCCCTGCTTCTAATTCTAGAGTCTCCAAAACAAGGGAAATTGCTTAAATTGTTTGTGTGTGTATGTGTCTGTGTGTGTGTGCATTTGCATGTGCGTGCACGCACACCAAGCCTCCAGACCATCTT